GTATTGCACATTAGTGATTTCCAGATTGCACTATATCGACTCAACTCAATCGGACTAAGTTTTTTAGCTCGGGTTTTACGTGTCAATTTAATTATTTGTTTCTACCTTTCAAATTTTATTTTATTTCAGCTCCATAACGACTTTATTTTAAAATAACATAAATAATCGGTCCGAACAAACTATATAAAAAATATTTTACTTTTATGTTTTTATGCAAAAATATATATCTTTTTTTTTTTTGCACAAAATATTGGGTATTTATCAAATTTTTATTAATTTCATATACACATATGAAATTTTTAAGTGTACACATATACACATTATTGTGCATCCAATGTGTAAATATTGTACATAAATTAATAATCATTATATCATAAATGGCCATAAAATAAAAACGTGAAATTAAATAAAAAAATTGCAAATTAACCCCCAAGCATGTCTAATTTCCCAAAGCAAGTCCCTACCACAAAACACATTTTCTGTAACTCAATTCATCCCTCCCCATTTCCATCACTCATCTAATCCTCTCCCTGCGCACGAGCCGCCGCCGCCGACGATTGGGAATCGCCGGTGTTACTGTGTCGGTTGCTAACTCTTTGGCCATTCCCGGCAGACGTTACGGGTCGCGACCACGGCATCCAGCGGATCGACGATGGACTTCTCTTCCGAATATGACTGACCTCGGGAGACGACGGAGCTTTGTCGAACAATTGAGGTCCGGTTGTGGTGGAGGCAACATCGCCGGCGGAGCTGTTGGGGAGCGATTGTGGTTGATACGTCATCTCCAACGGAGCTGCGTCGTGATGTTCATGACCTGGCGGCGTTACGACTTTTGTGTTGGAGGCGACGACGGCCATTGACGATGATGGAAATCCAATACGTTTCTCCGGCGAGATGGCGCCTTGTTAACAGTTAGATAGGGACGATGTGGATGTGCCCGGCGGCCGTCAGAGATGTCGGATGCTGGTGCGACGTCGAGTGCGGCGGCGAAAGGGCGGCCCGGCCTTGCTGCCTCCGTTCTGTGTAATGTATGTGTGCGTATGTGTGTGTGGGGTGAAGAAGACGATAGGGATGGGGTGGGTAGGTGGAGTGTACAGAAATAAACATTATTTATGTTGAAATTAATGTAGGTAGTGGTGGGTCTTGCATGTTTGTTGGATTTGAATTAAATGTCTAAACTACCCTTAATTATGGGTCAATGTACATATTTGACCATAATATGATCAAATAATTACCACCATGCCATTAATGATTGACCATATTTTGACTTCATCATAACCATTAACATGGTTAATCTCATGGTCTAGATTTATTCTC